TCTCTCTCATCTATCTGCCTCCATAATGAGGCAAGTGAGGTGTGATAGGTGTTATCAAAAAGAGGACACAAGACTGAATGACTCACTTTTTCATGGTCAGACACTAGGAGATTGTTCACTCCAACTGGCACAATAACAGCTGAACCTAATAGGGAGTCATCTGTGGAGGAGAGCAAGCAGTATTTGTAGTACTGCTCTCACGGGGAGGACAGCTTTAACTACCTGTTACGAAGCTGGCCTGCAGAGCCTGAATTAGGCATTCAGCAGATCTCCAAATGATTTGGACAATCTCCTTTCTTCTCAGCACTAAATTTTTGGGCCTATACTTGCTGTGTTCCTACCTAAAACAGAAATTATGGGAATTTGGTGTTAGCAGCCCTACTCCAAACAAATTTTCCATGAGTGCGGCCTCTGTAATGTAGGATATTGTAGGAGTCTCAGCTAAATATCCTAGTACCAAATATGATCCTAAATTTTCCATTATTAAATCAAAATGCAGTCATGGGCAGGTGAAAATGTTAATATCTTGTCTCTGGTTACATGATAACCCAGCATTCATTTTTAGCTGTATGAAGAAAGGTATACATAGCAGATATAGTATGGGAGTTCTCTTATTGGCCAAGCTTTTGCTTTGAGAAAAATGTATTGAGTCTTTACTGCTGTGTATAAATTTGCTTTTAATCTAGTAGAAAGTGTTTTACATAAATTTCAGTTTGTTGAGAATGGCATAACTGGTCTTTACTCATCATCATGAGAAATTTACAGCAAACTTTCTTTCATTGCATCATAGAAGTGTTCATAGATTAAATGTTCCATTATCATAATAAGTTACCTAAAAAGAAAAAGAAGAAAAGGCTTTTCTGATTTTACCAAATATAGGCCTTCATCCTAATTAATTGTCAGTGTGCAAGAATTTTTTTTGAAGTTGATATGGCAACTGAGGTACTATCTGGTATTGTTTTCTTGTCTTTTTAATTAACATATTTTCTTTGCTTTAAATTTATTTTCTTAATCACTGACTTTGATCGGACCAAAAGACTGTTCTCTGTCCATTTGTTTGTTCATTTTTCAGCCATTTGATAAATAGCATCAATGTTCTTCAGGTGCAGAGTCTTAACCATCTTCATATTCAGTAGACAATATTTCTCTATCTTCTGCAGGAACACCTGTCATTGAAGAAGTACATTGTTGATATTGTGGTTGAAAACTCTGTTCCAGCAGAACCTGTAAAAGATGGAGAGGAAAAGCAAAAAACTAAAAAGAAAGCCAAGAAGCTAAAAGCACGGATGAACTCCAGGTAGCACAACTACTCCTTAAGTCTTGCTCTAAACTTTGTTTTTTGTCCTTTAAAAGGAATGCTATGGAAGGATGAAAAAAGCTGAAAGTTATTTGCTTCAGGAATGTCTTGAAAATAACACTGATGAGCCTAATTTATGGCCACTTTCTCTGATTGAGAAAGAAAACTGAATATCGATCCAGAGCCCTTGCTTTCACCTGTTAAGAGCTTTTCTCATAATTGGATGCCAGTGCCCTGCCAAAACTGTAGCCTCTTTCAGCATACAATAGTATGTTTAAGTATGTGTAAACCATGCCTATTTTTCTTCCTAGCTATTGATTTTTTAAATGAAGTATCAAAGAAAATCAATAGTAATCAACAAATAGAAGCCAGTCTGCTGTAGTGTCAAATCCCATGGCTGGATTTAATCAATTTTGTTGCCTGTCACAACAAGAAAAAGTTAGAAATATCTTAAAATGGAAAGTGAGTTGTCAGACCTGTAGTTTGTCATTGGCCTAAAAAGTGACATCTGCAGATCAGAAAGATACCCAGGATATCATTATACCATGAACTGTTCTGTCTTAGTATATTCGCCATATTAGTATAAATTCACTTGATATTATTATCTGGACTTCCTTGTAAATATCATCTTGTTTAATTAAAACAGTGATTCTCAACTAGAGTGCCTTGAGATCCTTCCAAGCATGCCATAAGGTGTCACACAATGTTAGCACAGTTGGGTGTACAAACATGATTCACAAGATAAACCCAGAGATTTAAACTGCACATTAATAGTGTTAAAACCATTCTGATCTGTTGTGGTCTTTTATGAATTATTTGCAGCAGACTTGCTCTATTATTTTTCTGTAGTCAAGAACAGAGTGACAGCTAAGAGCTGGCATTTTCTGAGGGGTGCCTTAAACCAAACAAGAGGTGCCTAAAAAGATTAAGAACCACTGATTTAAAACAATAGTTCTAAACATTTAAACTTTATTATTTAACATATTTTTCTTACTTGGTTCTAATTGTGCTAAGGAGGTTTCAGAGTAGTTTTTAATAAAAGAATGACTTAAATAGAATAGTTTATTGTATTGTAATAATGTGAATGATGGTAACTGACAATAATTCTACTTTTTTTTTCTTTTTCATTTTGTTGTTTGCTTTGTTTTCCTGGTTTTTGGATTTTTTTATGCATCTTATATATGAAAATTGCCAAATTATAGTTCACTGTTGGACAAATGTATGTACTGAAAACTATTGTCTTTCCAGGTTTTGACTGCTGAGGATGGCGAGGTATTCATATTACTGATTTGTCACATTCATTGAGGCCAGTCTTACATTGTTCACTGTAGCAAAACTTCTACTGAATTTAATGAGAGATTTAGCCCAATAAAGAATTTAGGATCAAGCCAGTTGTATGTAATTGGCATGGTTAACGGAAGTATTCTTTCATTTCATCTTAAATTCTTATGTATCAGACTCACATAAACCAGCACATTTCATTGCTAATTATTATACCATAATAATGTAGTGTAATTTTACAAACGATTCAGAGTGCTGAAAACTTTGGTGACATCTGCAAAGTTAAAAAAAAATTAAGAAAATGGGTAAAGAATAGAATGGTTTTATATTTTTAATTTCAAGGAAGGAACAGGCAAATGATTTTCTGTTACTTCAGGTCATTTATCTTTGGAAGGGAGATAGGTTGGAAGTTCAGTTTAACATTTAATGATGAATCCTTAAATGTAACTATAAAAGCTTTAACAACAATATAGTACATGGTTCAAGCCAGTAGCAAAGCAAAGCTTGTTCCATAAGATGTAAAGCAAAACCAAAATCTTTAGCCATGTATATTAAGGAAATTAATTTCAACACTGCACAGCTTATTTTAGTCTCATCAGTTGATGATGTCTCACTAACTTGCTATAATAGTGGAAAATATTCCCTGGAT